CCGTAACCTTAAATTTGCCTAAGATGTCATGAGGTCACAAAAAAGAGGCTGGCTGCTCTCTGATTGTGACACAGGAGTTTATTAAGGACGTGCTCACTGAAATGATGCCCTGGTTGGTCTCCGAGCAGAGTCGAGTCTCCTTGCTCCCTTCCCCACCCCAAGAAGAGAAGTGGGGATTCTTATGACCCCAGCAAACAGAAGTGGCTATGAACCCCCCCAGCCTCGTTTCACCCTCTTTAGGACTAACCTGTTTGTTTTCCAGAAGTCCAGGGTATATTCAATACTCTGCTCTAGCTCAATACTCTTAACCACAGCTAAAAGAAATTAATTCTCTTTCTTTCATCCCTAGTCATTATCCAGCTTTCTGACACATAGCAAGTAATTGTGAAAACTGTGGCCTGGATCAGGTGCACCTTAGTCTTCAGACTGACACCATTGCTCTTCAGTACTCCGGAGAGATCCCTGACAGCTGATTTTCTCAATGCGATTTGTCTCTTGATTTCCTGGTTGATGGTATCAAGAGTGTTGGTTGTGAAGCCAAGGAAACGAAAGCTGTTAACAATCTCAATCTCTTCACAGTCTATCATGATGCTGTCAATCGGCCCAGCCAGCCAATCACCGAGGGCTAGACACAAGTAAGAGCGTAGCCATGTTGAGCCTCACAGAAGTCTGTTCCCCTACACAGCGAAGCCCTAATCCTTTCTCAAAACCCTGGGTGTCCCACAGCTACCCACAGCACCTGCCGCAGTAGAGATCACAGAATCTGGAACCCAGGATCTGGTTCAAATTCCGTATCTCCTACTGCCTTAGCTGTTTGATGCTGGACATATAATCCAACCTCACGTGACTCACATGTAATCACGTGACTCTTTCTGCATCAGCCCGATGGAGAAGGTAATGGTAGCACTCATATCACCTGTTGATCACCTGCCATACAGGTGAGTCCCCTCTGATGTGCACCCCAGCTTGAGCCTTCAGGTAACAACTCCAGCTATGGCCTCTCCGCATCTGAACAAGAGATGCTGAACCAAACCTGCCATCACAGCCACACAGTCAGCGGCACCAGAAACCCCAGGGTTGGTTTAAGCAGTTTGGATTTATTCCTTCTACAGCAGTAGAAACTGAGTTTCATTTAATGGGAGGGGGTACCTATCATGAAGCCCATTTTAGAGATGAGGAAACTGAGGCACAGCAAAGGAAAACTCACTTGAACATTTATTTGTTTCTGAATGGTGAGGGAATGAGAGGTGGCTACACGTTCATGTTTTGCAAGAAATGGGTAGGTGGTTCTTACCAAAAGTCAGAACCCCCTGGGAGACAACAAGGAGGAGATGAGTGGGAAAAGCATGAGTTCTCGCCTGAAGAGGTTGCCTTTGAGGGCACAAAGCGAATGTCAGGTCAGCAATTGACTAGGTGAGTCTAGAGCTTAGAGAAGCAGGCTGGGCAGAAATGTGGATGTAAGGTCAAGTTACAGACGAGGACACATTATGGGACGGAGTGGAACTGCACCCTAGTGTTTTGAAGGCTGTACTTCTTTTCGCCCCCTGAAGCCAACTGCCATGTCTTTCTGCTCATGGGGCTGGTGGGTTCAAACCACTGACCTCTTAGTTAGAAGACAGGGTGATGCCTTAACTACTGCATCACCGGGTCTCCTTAGACAGTCTGAAGAGAGAGTGAAAGAGTTTGTGACCAAGGCGCTGAGGAACTCCAACACATAATCTTGGTAAGGACTGAGAAATGATGAGGTCTCAGACACCAAAGCAAGCCAGTGTTTGTAGAAGGTTCCAGTGGGACCAAGGGGGTAAACAGTCAGCTGTTGCTAGAGGTAAGACAAGCGCAAGACCAGAAAGCATCTCCACTTTCTCCCAGCTCTGTTAGAGTCCTGTTGGTAGGTGCCCTCCGGTTGACTACCTAGCAACCTTGTGAACAACAGATCTAACCTTGTCCTATCCTGTCCACAACATACTCAGCATTTCTGATATACTTGAGCCCATTGTTATAGTCACTGTATTGATCCATCTTGATGATCTCCTTCTCGTTCTCTGATCCTCCACCTTTGCCAAGATGATGTCTTTTTCTAAGGAGTGGCCCCTCCTGAAAACATACCCAAAGAATGGGAGACAAAGTTATATTTGCCTCCAAGGAGCACCCTGGTTGCACTTTCTCCAAGATGTATTTGTCTTCTTTTTTGGCAGTCCATGGGATATTCAGTACTCTTCTCCAGCATCACAACTCTCTCAGCTTTTTTTGCTTTCTTGGTAGCAATAGCAGCAGCAAAAAAAATCATAATAACACTGAGATGTCTTTTAAGTTATTGAGGTTAAAGTCACCTAACAAAATGAACCATTTCGAAGAGAATAATTCCTTGGCCCTTAGTACATTCCAGAACAAGGAACCCTAGGCAATTGTTCATGCCTCCATTTCCTCATCTGTGACCTAGAACAAGGTATGATAATAGTTCATATGGTTGTTGGGAAAGCATGGTGCAGTGGTTAGCTCCCAGCTGAAAGGTTAGCTGTTCTAATCCAGCTGCAGGAAAAAGACATGGAGATCTGCTTCTCTAAAGGCTACAGCCTGGGACACTTCAGGGGGACATTCTTCTCTATTACGTGGGGTCCCCATGAGACAATTCACTGAACAGAACCCAACAACAGGGTTCTTGAGAAAGTTAAAATAGCTAAAGCACACATACAAGATAATCAGCAGAGGGTGAATTAGATGATGGGAACTTCCTGAAAAAGAAAATCCTTATGTGCATCAAAATGTTTGACAATAACCTGTCTGCCAAGGGACTCATTTCTCAAATTTATAGAAAACTCCAACTCTACCAAAAAAGGACAAGCAACCAGTTACCAAATGATTAGAGGCTATGGAGACATGTTACCAAAGATGACATTCAGATGGCCAACACCACAAATGTTCAAAAACATTAATTGTTGCTGTTATTAACAACTCTATGAACAATAGATCTGAACCGTGTTCTACCCTGAGCCATCTTCATCACCTCTGACATACTCAAGCTCATTGCTGTAGTCACCATATAAATTCATCTCATTTACTCTCTTTCCCTGACCCTCCACTTTTCCAAGCATGTTGTCCTTTTACATGGAACAGACTCTTAACAATATGCCCAAATGAAGCTTTGCCATACTTGCCTCCAAGGAGCATTCTGGCTGCACTTTTCCCAGACATATCTCTTTATTCTTTTGGCAGTTCATGATATATTCACTACTCTTCTCCAACATCACAATTCAAAAGCATTGATTCTTCTTCTGTCATCCTTATGCACTGTCCAGCTCTCCAATGATAGCAAGTGATTGAAAAGACCATGGCCTGAATCTAATTAACTACTAAAGTAAGGCAAATCAAAACAACAATGAAATATACTCTCACCCCACTAAATTTAGCAACATTCAAGAAGACAGCTGACAAATGCTGGCAAGGGTGTGGGGGGATTGAACTCTCATACACTGCTGATAGTGAGGCAAGGTATATTCTGCTTAAACGTTGGAACATGGTGCTTATGATTAAAAAGATCTGCACCACTGCTTACCTGCTGTTGGGGTTTGTCCCCAGAAAGAAGGTCAGCAGGTGACCAGAGAGAATAGTCTGCAAAGGGTATGGAGAAAGTACCAGCTGTATATACCACCAGCAGCCCCTACTGTATGTTTAGGTTAAGGCTGATAGAATTCTTAGCCTAAGGAAAAACCCTCATTGGCTTGACCCTTACCTAGTCCTACAAGCATGGCTAGAAATAACAGTAAGGATCAGTCTGTCCTAGAACTATTCACTAGGACAAAGAACTAGAATTTAGGTTTGTTTTTTCAGTCCCTTACTCTTCTGCACTTCCATAATAGCTTGCCTCCAGAAACCCTATGAACCTGGAGAGAGGATGAAAGGCACCCAAGCGTCGAGGATTCTCCTTCATAGGGTCGCTGTGAGTCGCCTGAGACTCGATGGCACTTAACAACAACACTCTTCTGCAGTACCACAACTCAAAGACATTGATTCTTCTCTTGTCATCTTTATTTACTGTCCGAATGTCAGATGCTGAGTAAGTCATAGACAGGACCATAGTTTGAATCAGGTTTGCCTTAGTCTTTAAGTTGACAACATTGCTCCTTAGCACTTTGGAGAGGTCTTTGACAGCAGATTTTCCCAGTGCAACATGTCTTCTGATTTCATGACTGACTGTTGGTACCAAGGGTATTGAGGATAGACCCAAATAAGATTAAATCACTGACAATTTTAATCTTTTCATCATCTATCATGATGTTGCCTATTGGTCCAGTAGTAAGGATTTTGGTTTTCTTGATTTTGAGGTGTAATACATATTAAAGGCTGTAGTCTTTGATCTTCTGCAGCAAATGTTTCAAGTCCTCTTCGCTTTCAGCAAGCAAGGTTGTCTCATCTGCATAAACCAGTTTATTGATGAGTTTTCCACCAATCCGATGCCAGGATTCCTGTGCACCTGAAAGTTGGACAATGAATAAAGGAGCCCAAAGTATAATTGATGACTTTAAACTGTGGTGTTGGCAAAGCATAGTGAGTATCCCATGGACTGCAAAAAAGAACAAATCTGTCTGGAAGGAAATGTAAGGATGGTGAAGCTTGTTCTCATTGATACCGTTAGTGAAAGAGGGGAAGACCTTCAACGTGATGGGGTGACACGGTCACCGAAAGAGGGACTCAAAGCATGACAGGTGAAGTTCAGACCTGTTGTTCATAGGGTCACTATGAGTCGTAGCTGACTCGATGGCACTTAACGGTAACAATTGTGAGAAAGAAAGATGGTTGCTCCTGTATTGCCCCAAAGGGGCACTGGACCCTTGAGGATCCCAATCACAAGGGAATTTTCCAAACAGCCTTTCCTCCGCTTTGCGGTCCCCCCATCTAGTCCAACCCGGGCCCAGGGGTGTGGCCACGGGTGGATGGGGGCGCTCCGAAGACACGCCCCCTCGGGCGGGTGGGCGTGGCCAAGGGGCGCCCTGGTGCGCGAGCGCGCGCGCGTCGGCCCCAGGTACGCGGACAAGATGGCGGCGGCAGAGATCGACAGCGCGATGGAGGTGGTGCCGGCGCTGGCGGAGGAGGCCGCGCTGGAGGCGGCGAGCCTCAGCTGCCTCGTCAACCTGCCGGGCGAGGTGCTGGAGTACATCCTGTGCAGCGGCTCGCTGACGGCCGCCGACATCGGCCGCGTCTCCAGCACCTGCCGGCGGCTGCGCGAGCTCTGCCAGAGTAGCGGGAAGGTGTGGAAGGAGCAGTTCCGGGTGAGGTGAGTCCGCGGCCGCGACCGCCCGTCCGCCCCGGCCCCGCC